GCCTCGCGGGGACGCGCTCGCTCTTCGCTAGCTGGGTGACCTCTTTGGGCGATGCGGAGGGTGGTGGTGCAACGAGTGCAGACGCGTCCCCGCCCGGGGCGCCTTCCGGGCCGTCAGACCTGCTGAAACCACCTTCGTTATTTATTTATTTGCCCGTTTCCTGTGGTTCTGTCTACCCCAAATATAGGGAGAAGGAAAGGGCTGCGTTAGTCGTCCTCACCGGCTGTAGGGCACACACTGGGCGCCACAGGAACATTTATCAAATGAATGAATAACCCTCTCCCCGAGCCCACAAAGCGGCCTCACCTGCCAGGACCACCTTTCGGCCTGGCTCTTGATGACATTATGCGTGTCCCCGCGTGGTCCACGCACTCCCCACCTGACCTGGGGGGCCCTGGTCCAGAGACTGATTCCTCCCTGCTCAGGCCTAGCGCCCGGTCCCCTTCCTTAATACAGCAATTAATTATGTAATTATTTGTTCATGTCTCCCCTGCTAGTTTGAGGGCTCCAAATTCCCAGGTTTTCTCTATGTTGTTTACCACTTTATCCAAGAACCTGGCATACAGTAGGTGCTCAATAAATAGGGCCTAGTCTCCCTCACCCCATCACATCTTGACAACAGCCCAGGTATTATGGAGGTGCAGGCTGCAGGGTGACAGCCACCGCCCAAGGGGGCCCCTCCGCTGACTTGCAGCCCTTGTGGCTCTCCATGCCATACCTCAGCTTCTGGGGGTCTAAGGAGCACATGGGGCAAGGATATCAGTAGATGCTTTTGCCACCCCAGGGATCTTGTCATTGCATGAGGACGAGACACCAGATCCATGCAGAGAAATGTGTGAAGCCTGAGCACACCTTTTCCGACATCACATAGGCTCTGTCCATCTCAGATACAGTTTATGGAGTGTTTACTCTATGCCAGGCTCTGAGCTCAGGGCTTTACCTCATTGTGACACTCAATCCAGCAAATTTATGAGGTGCCTGCCATGATGATATAAACTAGAAGAAACTTTTTTTTTTTTTTTTTTTTTAGTACCAGGGATTGAACTCTGGACCTTGCTCTTGCAAGGCAGACAGTGGAACCACTGAGCTAAATCCCCAGCCCTAGAAGAAAATTTTTGAGACAGGGCCTTGGTGTGTAGTTCAGGGTGGGCTTGTGTCGGAAGCAATTCTACATGATTTGGGGGAAAAATCATTTTGTAATTAAATCATGATTAGGATCTAGTTTTCCCACCTAGAGGCCAGCTAGAGCATGTCCAGACATAACTTGGTTTTCACCTCTGGTCACAGCTAGACCTCAGCGGTCTTCCAGTGATGCTGTGACCCTCCGAGTCAGGACTACATCCGCTGGAGACACCCCGGGAGGAAACAGATCTTCATCCACCTAGCTCCTCATTGTTCTAGGATCATTGCTGCTGTCACCCTCTGAGTCATTGCTACTTCTGTTTTGCTGATGTTCTGAATAAAGGTGTGGCCTGCTCAGGGTCCAGCGTCTTTGCCACCCAGAGCGGCATGGATCAGGCCAAAGCTCAGCTTCTTCTCTAGTTCCATTTTCTGTCTATATATTAATTAATTCTCCTTGTGCTGTCGTGGCTTGTAGACTAGGACCCAATGCAGAGATTCTAGTAACGTCCCTTTTCCCTGTTCCCCACAGGACTGAACTCACTGTGTGGCCTTGGCCAGCCTTGAACTCACGGTGATCCTTCTGCCTCAGCCTTCTAGGATCACAGGCCTGTACACTGTCTCAAAATTAAAAATTAAAAAATGACTGAACTGTAGCTCAGTGAGAACATACTAGGTTAAAGCTTCAGATTCGAGAAAAGAATTATTAAACTGTTTGAGTTTCTGGGCACCACGGCCCACACCTATCATCACACCACTCTAGACTGAGGCACCAGGATTGTGAGTTTGAATCCAGCTTGGGCTCCATTGTAAATTCAAGGTGAGCTTTAACATGGGGAAGTGCTGTGTCAATAAAACCAAAAAATGTGAAATGTTCTTGAAAGATTTATAGGATCTGAAAAAAATGAGAGTATTCAAAACTCAAAGAATTTTTTTAAAAACAAGAAAAAAATGTTTGAAAGTTAAACAACTTTATTTATTTTTGGTTTTTTTGAGGCAGGCTCTCACTATGTAGTCCAGGTTGGCTTTGGATCCACTGCGCAGCCCAGGCTGGCCTCAAACTCTTGGTGATCTTCCTGCCTCAGCCTCCTGAGTACTGAAATTATAGGCATGCACCACCATGCCTGGCTTGGAAATTAAGCAACTTTATGAAGACAGTGACATCATCCAGCCTCAAAGCTGAGCAAATATTTGTGCATCGAACATCACTGGCCATCTTTTTTGAGACTGGGTCTTGCTACAGAGCCACAGAGCCCAGTCTGGCCTGGAACTTGCTCTGTAGTCCAGGCTAGCCTCAAACTCCCAATCCTCATGTCTCAGCCTCCTAGTGCTAAGAGAACAGCTTCAGGCCACCACACTCTGATTGTCACTGCATTTAACTATTCCCAACACTGGGCCGGGCATGGTAGCTCAGGCCTGTAATCCCAGGACTCTGGAGGCAGAGGCAGGAGGATTGCCGAGAGTTCGAGGCCAGCCTGAGCTACATAGTGAGTTCAGGGCCAGCCTGAACTATAAAGTGAGACCCTGTCTCCAAAACAAAAACAAAAACAAAAAAACTATTCCTAACACAGGTAGCCATGTCAGGGAGGGGGGAAAAAAGCTCCATGAGGTGGACTTGTCCTCAGGGCTTGGGTCAGAGCCATCAAACCAGAACCACAGTGAGGCGGTGGGAGCTGGGCATGTGGGGCGGCTTCCTCAATAGGACTCTGAGTGACCCAGGACAACTGACACTCTGGGATTTTCAGGAAAGGTCAGGGGGAAATTTGAGACACTTGTCAGAGCAGAGTTTAGGAATTAAAGTGGGTGTCAGCATGGTGATGCACACCTTTAATCCCAGCACTCAGGAGGCTGAGGCAGGAGGATGGCCATGAGTTGGAGGCCAGCTTGGGCTACATACCTAATGAGACTGTTCCAACAACACCCCCCCATCTTTGTGTTTGTAGGGAAAGGGGTGTGTCCAGGTTACTGTATCAGCCTACAGGATCCAAAATCCTTCACCACACTTCTACTCCAATTGGCTGTGTAAGAGGTACAATTTATTGCTACATGTGGAAAAATTTCGATGTACAGAAAGCCCTGGGGGAGAAAGGTGTCTGATGTCTGATCCTAGGGACTCTCTTAGCAAGATGAAATGATGGACATCAGAACGGGATAGTTAAGAGCCTTTGAGCCACTCCTGTGCTTTGGTTTTGTTTTTAAGGCGGTCTCACTATGTAGTTCAGGCTGGCCTCGAACTCCCAGCGGTCCTCTTGCTTCAGCCTCCCCAGTGCTGGGATTCCAGGTGTGCGCAACCACGCCTGGCCCATGTGTGCTTTTACTGTAAATTCCATAAGCCCAGGAGAGGAACATTCATCCCTCTATGGTGCTGCGCCCCTACAGTGTAAGGTCTGATGCTGGGAAGAGCAGTGAGAGATGAAGAAATTTGGAAAAGGCAAAATCATGCTTTATAGCTGAGCCCATAGCCTGATGAGTAAATGGCCACCTGGTGTCCAGAGCACTCTATTTGCAGAGTAGGAAGGTGGGGGTAACTAGTGCCACGTGGCCCCTGTGGCCTAGGCTAGGCTGAACGCGATTATCTCAGTGATCAGGGCATGTGCAGAACGGGAACAAGGATACATAATGTAATTGTTCCCTGGGGCTGTGCCATCCAGAATCTGTTACAATCTTAGTCCAACAGACTCAGCATATTGGAACCTCCTTTTTTCTTTTCTTTTCTTTTTGTTTGTTTGTTTATTTGTTTGGTACCGGGGATCAAACTCAGGACCTTGCCCTTGCGAGGCAGGCAGGGGCACCACTGAGCTAAATCCCTCACCCTCTCTTTTTGTTTTTTTTAAGACAGGGTTTCTATGTGTAGTTCAGACAGGCCTTGGACTCGTGGCATTACTCCTGCCTCAGCCTCCCAAGGGCTGGGATCACAGGCATGAGCCATAACAAATGTCAGTGGGAGCCCTTTTCACAGGTGTGCAGGAAAAGGTTCTGAGGACCTGGCACTGGATGGCAGGAGGCGTCCATGACAAGCCTTTGGTCCTGTGCAGAGGCCGGTTCCCAGGGGACACTCAGCAATGGCCAGGGAGCCTCTAGTCCTTACCACTGGCAACGCTCAACGCTGCTCTCCCTGACCTCTAGCATCCCTTCCCTGGATTCCCATCACGTTCCCTTCAGGACACCTGAGTCACCCTCACCTGGGCTGGACCTTCTGGGCCGCGGCACATCAAACCCACCCAGCTGAGTTCATGAGGTCTCTGATTTCACGCAACCCCTTTCTTATTATCTATTTTGAGAAAGGGTGCCCCTAAATTGTAAATAACTCAGGCTGGACCACAATTTGTAGTCCTCCCGCCTCAGCCTCTTGAGTAGCTGGGATTACAAATGGGTACTATTATGTCTAGCTAATGCCTTCTTTCCTCAAAAAATATTGTATAATTTTTTGATGGAAGGTTGTTTGTATGTTTTGTAAGACTTAAGTCACTTTTACTCCTGCAGCGTGAACAGCCAAGAGGCTTCCACGATGCTGGGCTCAGAAGCTCAGCGAGGCTCCAGGAGCTTGTCGGACAGCGAGAGTCACCCAGGAAGGAACACACCAGGCAGGTTGGCAAATAGACCTTTATTAGTCTGGCCAGATGGCACTCCCCAAGCCAAGTAGCTCAGAGAGGCGGCTAGCTCAGAAACAGAGGCCATTTTATATAGGGCTAAGGGGGGGTTTACACTTAAAACTTACAGGAAGAGGACAAAGGCAAAG